GCCCAGATGATGGCTATTTATACTTGTTGAGTTGATCGGCAGGAATACAAGACTTGAGGTAATGAGAAGGTTCCCACGAAAGGCGACCCACTAAAGCCATAATCCCAGTTTTTTATTCAAAACCAAAACCCTGTTAAAATTAGATTTCTTGGGCGGCTTTTAAACTGAAATTTATTTCGTTAATAGGATACTTGGAAAAGGATTTGGGGCAAAAATTTATGTTTTGAGGGTCGTTTCTTTGATAATGAACTCAAAAACAAAACCAAGTAGTCTGTGTAGGTCACTGATCACACATTGGCATGTCCAGCCAAATTGGGCAGGTGATACGGAAGTTCCTCTGTTATGGTCGCTTGGGTAGAACCTTCAAGGTGTACTACATACACGTAGTCACACAAAAGAGAACCTTCAAGGTATGTTATATTATCACTTCCTTATTTCTGCCACAGAAATTTTTTCGGATTTGAGATTCCTACAGTCATAGATTTGATTGCAGGTACAACTGATAAGAGGGAGGTACTCGGATTAAAATTGGGTAGACAAAACTAATTGTGAGATACAATAAATTAAACAACTTAAAAGAGAGATTTTAGTCAAATTGACTACTCAATTGTGTAGTGGAAATTAAAATGACATCTCTACTGGGAACTAAGATGACATACGGGCTGACGCAACCAGCCTTGAAAAACTTTGGTCAATTTAACGACAGTGAAAGCACATCAGAACTACCCCCAGGTTAGCTCGAGCAGTCAGTTTCCTCTCTTTAGAGTACGGTAGACTTATCTGGATAATTAGGATTCGAACTCCCTTGCTACCGTACTTGGAATGGAGTGGGGCCTCCTTTCTTGGGTCGAAGTGGGATTAGTCGGGTCAAAGGCCAGGATACCCACTCTGTCAGAAAAAAAAAAAAAAAAAAAAAGGCACATCAGAACTGTGTTAAGGACACTCATAGTTGGTAATTTTTCAAAGAAGAAAAAGCAAAAAGAATGGCCATGGTATTTGTTTAAGCGTTTCACACAAGTGATGGATTCACTGTACAAGAGCAACAGCATAAAATATATCACTAATTTACACAAAAAAACTGCATTTGGTTTCTGACATCAGCATCGCCAATTAATCTACCAGGATTAATCATTGCTTTAAAGGACTCTTGCAGTTGGAGAGATCAACTGAATAACCCACGTATGTCTAGAAGATTCAAAATCAAAAGAACCTCTCCAGATTAATCTACAGAATTTGAAGTGGTGTTAGTCGCTCAATACAGATGAACAAATGTGCCTCCATCCCCTCCTTTGACTGCAGGGCTGCTGCTACTTCTATCATCTTACGTATTGTGTACCTTCCTTCCCTTCATCTGTTGCAATTCAATTCCTGCAAACGTCCTCATATTACTAGTACTTTTTTTTTTTTTTGTCGGCAACAATAACATTTATATAATCTAATCTATCAACAAGCCTAAAGAGTATGTATAAGGGATTAACAGGTATACAAATCTAACTGGATCACAGGAATGCTGTAGCACCACCTTCGAATTATTTTCACTGTAAATGGAGTTTGAATCCCCGACTTACGGTCTTAAGAAGGGACTTGAGTCCCTTTGAATAGTACATTTGAACGGACCAAAATGAATGACACCAATATTGAAATATACATAGACTAACTTTTGACACATTCTGATTTGTGCAATAATAACTCCTAACCAAAGTCAATAATTCCTCAAGTCCCTGTCTCTCACTTTTGCATAATACTCCCTATGTGATTATTAGTTAGGTCTACCCATTTATGGATGCGTACAAAAAAGCATCCACCAAAGTCACCGACTAACTTTGGCAAAAACACATTATTGTGTTGAATGTTGGTTGCTGTGCTGAATACATCATAACCTAGCTAGGCAGTTACTTGTTTGGATCAGCAACAAAATGGTCGGTCAACACATGATTCATGAACTGGATAGATTTGTTGCCCCAGTCAATGTCATCGACGTGTTCCTTGCCTTGTGGCGACCAGCGTTTAGGTTAAAAATTTTCGAACCCTAGTAAATATTTGAAGGGAGCAACCGAGCAAGAAACACAACAATGTGATCCTTTGCCGTGTAACAGAGGGAGGGTTGAAACTCCAGAGTCCGACTGATACCCAATTCCAGCATTGAGAAGGACGACAGAATCTTTCGTACCATGCACGTCTGTCAAAAGGGTTACCGTCTTGTCGGTTGATAGAAACACAAATCAGAAAGGAAAACAAAGGAGGGTCATTAGGGCCTGAGTCCGCAAACCACTCCGATGCTTCAAGACGAACAAATGAAGGATTGGGGTTGAGCGCTCCGACCAACTCCCACGCGTAGGATATATTTTTTTTGTTAGTTATCGCGATTATGTATCGTATATCATCAGTAATACACTCATTGTACTTGTGATCCTGTGACTGATAGGTTGCTCTGTTTTTTGGTCACCTCTTGGCTCTTGATTTGCTTCGAACCTCTAATGCTAGCTAAGTGGGAAAGAAATCCCGCACAAAAATAGTGTTCCTTGCAAAACGTATGCATGCGAAAAGTGTCAAAGGGTGTGGCAGATTCAATGCTTCTTGTAGGTTTGAGCTGTAAAATATATCCACATATGCCACCTTATGTTGTGAAACATAAGTTTCACAACATATAAATTCCTCTTGTCGTCGTGTCAAAAAAGAACTGCACTAAGTTGGCGAAACTTTCCTCGTGTTACCATAATCGGGAATATTTGTGCGTCGTGAGATGGAGACTTCCAAATTATTTTTTACAAAAAAAGGTGAAGGAGAGGGATACACGAAAATCTTGGCGGAATTGCATTGCTACTTGCTCGAAATAAATGTCAAACTCAATTAAGGTACATTATCGAGTGGTCCTCTGGCGTCGTGGAAATGTCCGGAAATGTCAAATTCTATCTTCCTTTTTATTTGGAGAATTGTAAATTCAGCATAATTGTTCCGGCCACGTTGGTGGTGGCTGTTTTTTGTCTAGAGAATAAATGAGGTCCTCTAGATTATTCAAGGCGTCTCGTGGGTGCCTTGGTCGGTTAAAACTTCTGAATTCTGGTTGTTTGGCCAATTAGCATTCTTTTGGTTAAGGTTTGTAGAAATGTAGACAATGCTTCTTGTCAAAGTCAATATATGGCAATCTTGTCAGAGTTGAAAGGTCTAACTTCCCCCCATCCTTAGTCAAAATTTAAACTAGTTAAAAGCTAAAACATGGACCATGTGCTATTCTTATTCCTTTTCCTCCTAGAAATGTTCTCCGCCGCGGTAATGATATCCAGGATTAAAGAAATGCTAAACCGGCTTTGAGAGGGCTTTTTTTTTTTTTTTTTTTTGTCGCAATGATAACAGTTGTATAACCTATTCTAGTCTAATCTAAGCGTAGGGGAGTCAATGGAGAACTCCGTTGAAGGAAACCACTCGAAAATGACTGCCATAATTAAGTGACAAGTTTGGCGGGAAGTCAAGGGTTCATCCCAAGACTTATATTACCAACAAACCAAGAGGCAGTTGGCTTTGATAGTACTTTTGAACTAGAGAAAGAAAACGGAATGGTAAAAATTGGAGACAGTTTTTCGCGAAGAGAAACAAGCTAAGCCCAAGTATGCAAGTGACACAGATTAGCGGTCAATGTTTAGATATGTTTTGGTGGGTAGGTTATTGATCGCGCACTTAATCATCTGTCCAAGTAGTTTTTTTTTTTTTTTTTTTTGTCTAAACGATAAATTCTATAGATTCTTTGGGGGAGGGGAACCTTTGGGGGAGAGGAACCTAAAGAGTTTAAAGGGAATCCGATACTCCTACTCTGCATTAGGAGGAGGGGATCTAAAAAGGTCAAGAGGAATTTGATAAACCAACACCGGTTCAGACGGTGCTTATGCACCTGCTAGCGAAATATTTTCAGGAAAGTCTAAATTAGAATGCAGATCAAGGGATTTGATCTCTAAACCTATACTAAAGGAGAGCTTTAAAGCTCTTTTGGTAGCCAGCTGTTCAAAGTTTTGCAGTAACTAGTGGGCATCTTTCTTCAAGTTCTCTTGTACATTTTGGCTTCATACATTTGTCTTAGAGATTCTACATTTACTCTTCTCCAGTCTTATTTGAGAAAGTACAGGAAGTCAAGATCGACAGTGACAAAACATTGTGGAGGAAAAGAATTCAGAAACTACAGCAAGGCACTAACCAAAGTTGGATCGGATAGAATCAAAGTCTGTTTCATCCTCCTTGGATTCAATTGCCAGGCAGGCTTCCACATCCACACCGTAACAGCATAAACGACACAAGCTCCCTTTCTTTTATACTGTTACCAGTCTACTAGTAGATGAAGGAGTCTAAGCCATTCCTAAACAAAGATGCATTCCAAATAAACTACGCGCTAAGAAAAGAATTTGACTTCGTGGCTGGGAACAAGAGAGGGCACAGGAACTGGCGGCGATCTTATTAACAAGCTTGAGGCTGTCTTTCATACTACAAAACCTGCAGAACTTGGGCTTCAAATAGCGCTAAGATCAATCAAAATCGCGACCGATAAGGGGACATGGACCTGAAAACAAGATTTTGCTATATTGTCTATGACATGAACTAACAGAGTAGATATGAATTCACCTCGTGGAACCAATCACTTAAACAGCCAATTAAATGGTAAAACTTAATTTAATTCCTAGTGCAGGGACAATCACGGAATTTATACAGACATGGAAATAATGAGAAAGGATGACTGCGAAGAGGTGCCTTTTTCCCCCCTTTTCCATTCACTAGTTGACAAATTCATGTAGGTTCCCACTTCCCACTTAATTTGATTTTGTCAAAAAATATAAAAGTAGATTTTGCCTTCTAATTGCAATTCCATTTACTCACTGATAAACAAAGAACCCGAGATTTCCATCAGTTTCTGTAAAAATGACGCATGCTTTTTTCCCTGACATGGGACCCTTAAAGTGCTTACTACGAGGATTTTAACTCAGCAGCAAATATTCAAGTCTTGGGTGCACGCTACGTTATTGAAGCAGATATAGTATGACTATAGTATTGACTTTTCGAGTATAGAATTCGCCACGTTTGGGATGGGAGAGGAAGGGGAAAGGGGAAGAGAGGCGGAGATAGTGAAAACACGAGGACATTCAAACTAGAAAAGATACACAAGTCTAACTTTGATGCGCAGGTAGAGAATATTTGGGCTGAATTCATCCACGTGCGCAGTCAACTCAACTCCTTTGACATCAGGACCATGGACGAGGAGCATGCATTTAAGTTTGACGACTTCATGAAATTATTGAAGATAACTTTTATTTTGAAACCTATTATCTGCTACTTCCTCATAAGAAGCACCACAGTGTGTGCCGCAATACTCCTATTCTCCCCAAGGCTGTCAACCTTCTCATGAGTTTTTGCTTTCAAATTCACAACAGAAGGATCCGCGCCAAGCAGCTCGCACAAATTGGACCTGATAACCTCCTTGTGGGGGCTCAATTTTGGCCTTTGCAAAATCAAAGTGGCATCCAGGTTTCCTAGCTCATAACCTGCATCATGCATCAGCCGCACCTGATATAGATCATATAGCAGAAATTCGTTAGGTAATAGAGAAACAGTCAGCAAGCAAATTTGATCCTCCGACAAGGAACTACCTAAAAATCAGTAGAACAGATATCTCATTCACCAACTGACAAGAAATTTGTACGCTTACTTGAGCATCTATGCTGTAGACCAAACGACTAAATGGTCCTATCTCCTGATCCTTCTCCCAGTAAAATTTGTCAATCGAGGATATTGTCTTGAAATGATCCAAATGTATGTTATTCAGGACCAACCTTTGATAAATATACATTCTGACACCTCAGTATAATTTGTGGGGACACTAGGACAGATGAAATCTAATGATTATTCTTCTCCAGTGATATATGGTCTAAGAACCGGGCAAAGCGAGGATATTAAAGCTATGGGTGAACATATTGTCACATAAACCAGATACAATTAAGGCTCAAACATGGGGCACGCCACTTCTAGTAAACTTTAAGCAAGTTATGAAAGGTCAATTATATCGAGACCATTTGAAGATGGCCAAACAGTTTCAAAAGTTTATTAGGCTACTACTGTGGTTTACCGTCTTTCTCAGGCATCTCAAACTCCTCATCGCCTGAGGTTGATATCAGTCGTGTAAAAGTATAGGTTGTAAGAATGCAGCTTAATTGTTGTATCTTTTCTTTTTTTTGTAAGTATTTTTGCATGATCTTAACGTTCCATCTAATCTTTACGACCATGATACTTTAGCTTTGGAACCAAGTCCCTATGTTCTCGCTTGACAGTTGTTACTGACACCCCTCCTACCCATTTTCTTTCCTCATCTTCATTTCATCCCTGGTAACTAAGCTGAACAACACACAAAAGAAAGTTATAACCGAGCATCACATTTTCTTAGTCACATGTGAAGAAGAGAGACTATTTGAACGGAGAGCAAAAATCTTATAGCTTAGGTGATTTTGCATTCAAACAGTAGGCAAAACGATCCAAAGGTTTGTGCATTACATCGTTTCTATGTTTTTCTTCTCTCCTTACTTCTTTTTCATTTTCTTTCTGATGAAAGTTGTCCAGTAAAAACAATCTTTCAAATAAACTATGCGGGGTAAAAGCGAGATTCTTCCAGATACAATCTTTTCACATCTTTGACTTGGTCATTTGTAGACCAGGACAATAATTCATAAAATCAAACATGGTGTCAACAGTTGAAACTCTAGTCCATAATCCCAGCTTCACCTAGTAAAACTTTCTTAACAATCTCATTCAAAAGAATACAAGCTTGGAATTCAATTCCTGTTCTGAACAACAAAACTAGCATTTCTAGAAATATACGTAGTAACTTTGTTAGACTAATCAAAATCCGCAATCCCACAACTGCGACTAATCTCACTCAACACAACAAACCTCATACCCATACAAGACCTTAAGATGCAAACCAAGATCAAACTGGCTATTAAGAAAACAGGAACCAAACAAGTATCAATAACTCATATTATTCAGAAAGATAATGGGTAAAACTTCAGCAAGTACTCCAGTTCTAACTTCTACCAACCATAGGTACCCCTTCAAGCAAGAATTCTGCAATTGTACTCTTTATCATCTCGAATAGGTAGCCATAACAATTCACTTTAGCAAAACAGCTAATATATCATCATTTCCTAGTAGTGATCTGCTATTAAATTCAGCAGAAGAGTAGCTTTAAGATTATTCTCATAGCGCCATACAATCAAACTCAGAAATAATCAATGTGCAACTCTGAAAATTTTTAATGCAGCAAAAGTAAATGTTAAATTTTTTTAGCATTAGAGAGAGAGAGAGAGGGGGGGGGGCGAGCAGCATAGCTAATAGCCCGTGAGCATGACCATGATACCCGATATGTATTACTTGACCCGGAAAGGCCAAGAGTAAGCCCGTCATTATATATTATACATAATAATATAGTTGGGGCTGTAGCTGAAAGGATTTTGTAATTAAAAACTCACGGCTTCTCTGATGAAAACAGAAGACGCAGCGCCTTTCCATTTAGGATCCGAATCCGGAAATATCTGCCCGATATCTGGTAAACCTAAAGCTCCCAAAATTGCATCCACCACACAATGCAGCAACACATCACCTACAGGTTACGACCCAGCCACAGCTTAATTCTTAGTAGAAAATTACTGCAAAATTAAAGTAATAAATTCATCCTTGAACATAAAATAAGCACGCAAAAAAAAAAAAAAAGTCAAAGCTGTGGATAATTGAAGAGAAATAGAGTCAGGAGCAGCAATAATATTACCATCGGAGTGAGCTTCGCAGCCTCTTTCATGAGGAATATTGATACCTCCGATGATCAGAGGGTATCCAGGTTCAAGCGGTGAGAGATCGAAGCCGTGACCGACGCGGAAGGGTAGGAGTTTTGAATGAAGCGGCCGTAGTGACTGAGGGTCAGCTTCCACGGCGGCGCTGGTGGCTGAGACTACCAGTGGCAGTGGCTGCGACTGTTGTTTACTCGCGGACCTGAGAGCAAACGACGACGTCCGATTCAAGCATCTGGTGACAGTACACATCCGAGGAGGAGGAGAAAGAAAGTGGATAGAGCAGTCTCCTCTGGTGGTTTTGAAAGGAATTTTTTGCGGTGGCAGATAACGTCGTCGTGGCCATAGCCATTGGCGGGAGGGGTGTCGGTGACTCTGCGGCGTGGTTTTGGGTGATTTGTGTGGTGGGGATACTGATACTGGTATCGGTCAGCTGATGAGGTCTCAGGTCATCGGGTTGGCGGGTGGGCATAGTCAATTTAATTTAATCGGATGTTTTGCTTTCATGTTTTTTGAGAGGGAATCATTCCGGGGGCTCAGCTCGTGCTGCACGGGAATTTAGGATTTGGATTTATTCTGACACACGTGAGACGTGTTGTCTTCTACTTGTACTGTTTATTTTGACCGTTGAAGGCTTGAATTCTACCCCAGAAGAAGGAAGTGAAAAAAAAAAAAAAACACGTTGAATTATGTGGCTGCTGCAGCTGCCTGTGTTTTTTCTGAAGAGGAAGAGATGATGGGTATTTCTTTCGTATTGCTACTTCTTCATGGATGAAAGGAAAGATGAAGGCCGGGGGAAGGAGAAGGAAGTTGTTGGGTCGTTTTATAGGGGGGGGGTGAAGAAAGGGGGAGCTGTTTTTTGTGGGGTGGGTGGTATGTGTGGGACTGTGGGGGAGATGGGTTTTGGTAGTGAAATGGCGGAATAGGGCATGGGTTTTGGTGGGAATAGCGGAAGAGGTATACAGGGTGAGAGACAGAGCGTGTCTGTATTCGGTGCATTAGCAGCAGTGGAATGTGTCGTACGGTCTGGGATGTATTAGGACATTTATTTTATTGGAAAATAATTTTTATTCCTCTCAATTAATACAGTTCCAATTTTGTTCTTTTTAATTATGGACTTTCTCTTCTTCTCATTTTTTTTTTTATAAGGATTACTCTTTACTACACTATCAAAATGTATACCCTGTACATTGACACTGACGGGGTTGAATGAATGACATATGATCTAATTTAAATTTAAACATCAAATTTAGCATATATGACATGCATTTAAACCCGATAGTATATACATTGTTAGTATATAAAAAGATTTACTCTTTTTTTTTTAATAGTGTTTAGATTTCTGTTCAGATTTGTTAAACTGAAAATTGAGTGTACTAACGCGTGTCCATGAAGCACCTGTTAGAACACTGTATTATTTAAGAAACGTATACAAGAATAAGAAAACAATTCAGAAGGAGATTTCTGAGTTAATTGGATGTAAACCTTTTTTCTCCGCGTAAAGCTAAGTTGTCTAATACAAATCCACAAAGTTAGAGAATGAGAAAGAATTATTGATTTTTGTTCCATAAATAAGAGGTAGTAATATGTTATTCTATAATATTCTTTTCCACGATTAAGCTATTAATCCATATGTTGGAGCACAACATGATTATAGATTATTACATAAATGCATGTGCAATACGTTAAATTTTCGCTTTTACTAGTTTCCATGCATTTAATCATGCGGTATACAAAGAGTAATCCTGTTCATCATCTAGCTTCTGTTTTATATATATGTATATTTCCTAGCTTCTGTTTTCAGGTAAATTAGTTTTTTTTTTAAAAAAAAACAAAATAGTTTTAACTAATTAAAAGGTTCAGCGAAAAATCAAGCATAATTGTGTAGTTTAATCTCATGTACAAGAACTCGCTGGCTATCAATTGTTTGGATAGCAAATTTTTTTCTAAAAAATTTTCCGCTATGTTTCATAAACACATTTCTCAATTCACCATTTTGTATTTTCAACCATCTTTTTATCTCACACACATCACATCATAAAAAGTGCTACAGTAATTATTCCAAATAATTATTTGGAATAATGCTCTATCCAAACAAAAATGATCTTCTCTGGCTGTACTGTACATCTTGTGTAATAGTTTTGGCTGCCCTTCCATCTTAGATTGGCCAATAAAATTGCGCATTGTCCATCGTGAGGTGAGACCGGAAAATGTATATACGTATCATTTGAATTTCAAAATATTCCCTCATTAAATGTGCATTGAAATTTTCAAAAATTTTTTTTTCAAAAAACAAGATTGAAAAGTACGCATTAAATTTGAAATGAAAATTTTTATTTCAGAACGTTGATAAAGTGAAAACATGATATTGACAACGATACGGAAGGGATACGTAAAATCACACGACTGATATTTTGTCTCAATTTTGTAGGCAAAGGCAAGGGTTTTGGTAAACCATACATCTCTTTCAATTCTCATTTATGTGCCACTTGTGTTTGTTTCCGCATGGCTAGCCTTGGCCCGATTGAACGCAGCCAAAATTCTCAAATGGCTTGGGTAATTAAATCAAGACGTTGACGTCAAAAGCCATTAATTAGCGAAACAAATTACAGAGTTGCAACTTGCAAGTTGCTCAGCCGCGTGATCACTCCGTTTAGCTTTTACAGGCAGTAATTAGGGAGCGGAGGAGCTCGCACGTCAACGGTGAACCCGTTTGGCTTCTATCATCAGTCACCATCAAAGTTGCCGATGAGGCCCTGCAAATGTGATTCGTCCTTGTTGGAATTGATATACTTAACCAACCGCTGCCTCAGCAAGAGGGAAAAAGAAAATATGACATGTCTATTGTCCACCGTCTATCGTCTAGTCACGTGCTATCATTTATAGCTTCATGAGTTTTAAATGACTGTGCATAATTTGGGTCAATTCTAATCATATGCTTTGTGGGTTGCGGATGGTTACCGCCAAAATTTAATCATTAGCCCTTTTTTCTCGTATATAAGTAAATTATTGTCAAATTTTGGGGAAAGGAATTGTGAAAAGTAAAATTTTTACCCTTTTGATAAAATTATTACTAACTTTTTTCTAAGGTTGAATTTTCATGAATTTCAAGTTCTATATTCAAATCATTTTTTTTCCTCCCCGCTTCTTAAATATCATCTTTTCTCTGTTTAAAAAGAAAAGTAGAAAAAAAATTACTAACTTTTAATCAAATGCAAACTTGTAAATAATGGCCATAATCGCGGAAGATTTGGACACCATAAGAGGAAAACAAACTGAAAGGCCCCAATTTTGAAGAAAAGGTGACCTCCTGAAAAATGGAGAAAGAAAGAGAAGGAAAGTGTATAAAAGGGATCACTAGTCTGGGGGTCAATCATGAAGTATCGAGGACCAAAAGTAAAAAGTCACCGAAAATTGCAATGTCTCGCACACTGGCGGAGCAAAAAAAAAATTTAGTGGAAGTAAAAGTAATACTAAAATTTTGTACCTACCTTTTTTTTTTTAGATTTTTAAGGAAAAAAATATTCACAAATAAGTTAAAATGAAAAGGCTTTTTTTGAATTTACGTTAAATGGAATTTTGTAACTCATATATCATTTTAAAATATTAGTTTATGAACCAACTTAAAAGGTCACGTAATTCTTTCACTTCCTTCGTAAGAAAACTCCGGAAACACACTTGAAATTATATCAAAATTGTATGGATACTGTAAGAATTTAAGGGGGAGCAGTGGGGACCCGTACCCCCACCTTAAATCCGCCGCTGGTCCCGCTGCATCAAAATTCAAATGGGAACTAAGCCCCAATCGGTTGAAGCTTCTGAGAGGAAAAGAAAAGAAAAGAAAATAAGCATACAAAGGAAGAAATGAAATGTATGGAAGTTAAATTTGGGAAAAAGAGAAAGAAAAGAGCACAACATCCTCTAGAAATTCAAGAAAAACAAACCCAAGAGGCGCTAAGACACTAACAATTCACAAGAAAAAAATAAGTTAGGTACCAACACTGTACAATATGCACGATGTGGAGGCCAATTGTACCAGGAGTCATCCTTAAGACCCCTTATCCAAGAGACCAGGGATCGAATCTTGAGAAAACTCCCCTTCCTAACACTATCATTTTTTCAACAGCCTGAATCAGACTTTTGTTGTTTTATAAACCTAATCCCAGAATTAACCTCAAAAGCCGGCTCCTAACACTATCATGACCCTAACTTAAGACGGTGTTGAGACGGACAAATACATAATTGGCCTCCACACACATGTCTGATATTTGATGCAGTGGCCCATCGGGGACTGATTGTTTCACCTTCATCTTAACGGGGGTGTCACTTCTGTTTCATCTTAATGGAGGTGTCACTTCCGTATCCATCCTTTGGCCATACGGTCTTTATTAAGATTGAAAATTCAGGGCACCAAGTGTTTTTTTTTCTTTTGGGGCCCCCGGTGGGGGGGGGGATGGGGTTACTATAATGAGCACGCTTCTAGTCATTGACTCTATGAAAGTTTGGGGTATTAGTAGCATTTTCAAAATGATGACTTTAGTAGATGACATGAGAATCAATAAAGATGCTAAAGAATTCGTTAAATAACTAGCAAGTGATTGTAGCTCATGCACCCTCCCAAACAAAAGGGCAGAAGAATTTTAGCCCAAGGTGCCTCAAATATGTACCAGCAAATCCACACACGAATTCTACGTTCGTCATGGTTTTCGTTTCATGCTAAATGGAGTGCGTAAGCCATGATAGAGGTAGCCGCCATGTACCTAAAACTAGACTACTCGCTGTCTTCTCACGTACGTTTAAGATTAGTCTACAGGGGAGGGTTTATCGTGTATGAATTTTCGATGCGTGCGTAAAACTTTGAGTAACGAAGAAAATGGCTTTAGGTAGACCTTCAGTTTTTGGGCTCTAGCTAGTTGTATCATTAATGTATTTTACTAATGACCATATGGCAAGGTTTCTTAGATACAAACTAAGGCTGGAAACGAAACAAGGAGAAAGAAGAAGAGGGAAAAGGGTGCGTAAGTCGGCCCGGCCAACCAGCCAAAGAGCAGGGGTGGCAATTTTCGACACGACCTAAAAACACGACACGAACCTAACACGAAATTAATGGGTTTGGGTTGAGGTTTTGAGAATTCGGGTCAGAATCGGGTTGGACCCGATGAACCCGAAAAGAAAACAGGTCGATTTCAGGTCAACCCGTGATGACCTGATATGACCCGATATGACCCGTTTACGAATTAAAAATAATTTAATAAATATAAAAATAATTTTATCTAACTAACCTAAGTTATTCTTTTTTTCAAAGGCATTAATTACTTAATTATAAATGAATTTATTTAATTTGTGTGAAGTTGAAATTATTATATTTGGACAAATAATATATTATATTATTTTTTACTTTTATACTGTTTTAATTTATTTTATATTTTGTTTGGGATAAAACACT